TGGGAAACCAGGCACAACCTTGCAACCAAAGCCCAGTGTTTAAATTATAATGTGTGAGAGCCATAACAAGTTTTTAAAAGTATTTTAAACATAAAAATATATATTGTAAAGGTTATTGTTGTTTTCTCTAAAAATTCTTAACAATTGTGTTATTTAATACCATTTCTGACTCTGTTTACACAACCCACACAATTTTATGACAGTTTGTAAAACTTTTAGTGCAGTCCATGGAACCAACTCGTTATGTCTTGACCTCTTCTCTAACGTCTGTCTTTTTAAAATTTTTTTATTGTTTTTAAGTTGTGCACATAAAAGAAAAAAATATGCAGATGCAGTATTTGTTGGGCCGGGAGAAACACATTTATTTAACGCATAAGATAATTTTCATTCTTCTGTCTTTTATGATAAAGTCGTCTTAAACCTAACAACTACTTCTGGAAAGAAAGTGCTACATAACAATTTTAACCTGTATGATTTAAATAAAAGTTCAGTATTTTCATATGAAAGCTAAATAAAAGTTGCATTTGTTGTTTCATGTTAATCAAACTAACAGTGCTATTGATGGTGCCAAATACATTTCTTCAGAGTTGTGGAACTTTCTCACATAACAGAAACTAGTGAAACACATTATGAGGCCCTGCTGACATAGTTGCAACCACTATGCATCGTTGCATTGTGGTTGCATAGTTGCATATAGTATCCGAGGGTATTTTCCAACATCCTAAAATAGCTCCAAATAAATGCACAGTTTCCTCCTGAGACCAAAACTGCATTACTATGCTGATTTATGGAATTAACTAACCTATTTTAACAACAGAGAATAACTGGTCATGAAGGGCAATGTACTGGTGATAAGTACCTCTGTGATATTCATTGTAGTTGTCCCTGCACATCTTGGCCTGCTTCTCTAGAGATGGATGCAGTTAACTGTTACAATCTCCTGCTGCTGCTAGCAAACACGTTGAACTCAGCTTCCTGTTGGTTTTTGGATGTTTCATTAAATTGCTTGAGCCAAAAGTGGTTATCTTCCTCCTCTTAGCAATGCTGCATGATTTGCTACCTTGCCGACAAAGATTGCTATTGTCAAAAGGTACTTTTAATCTGAGAAACATATTCTAATTTATTGAATATGACTGTATGGAGAGCGGTACTATCTAATGCAGAGAAGATGTTGCTTTTCACACACTCATATCAGGTCCTGTGGTACTAGAACACTTATGAATATGATTATGAGTACATACACGTGTTATAATATATAGACACTAATATCTGGTTGATGTTAGTGCACCCTCACTCTGAGGGAGAGCTGACTTGTGCAGGGACACAAGAACATAAAAACTACATGCTGCCTAAAATTTGATTATTTTGATATTATATTATTATAATAATAATATTAAGCTAGACTTTTTATGTGTTTTTACTCTCTAGTCCTTTTGTACTTTATTATTTTAGCATACCACGCAAGATGCTTATTATCAAACAATCGACAGACGACAGAGTAAAAAAATAAAATCTAGGATTTTCATTTGACCTACATTGTGAGTTTTCCAGTTGAATTATCTTTGGGAAATACCTTGCTCTTATGTATGCAGAAAACAGCATTTTATTTCTTGATTTTTACTATTTACTGTGATCTATTTAGGCTATAAATGACCTTTGACACACGTTACTGATCCAGTTGAAGAAATAAGATAGTCTGACTTCCTGGCAGTGAAATGTAAAGTAGTGATGACTCGTGGGTTTCGCACAGTGCCATACAGCTCTGCTCATTTATAGATTCTGCGAGGGCAGAGAAACATTCGGCTGATGTTCTTCTTCTGTTATTGTCCATTTGCTCACTCAGACTTGAGTCAGCAGAGAACAAAAGGAATGAGCAATAACAACACAATAAAAAGGGAACAATCGTAGTGATGGTTGCCATGGTAAACATGCAGCATTATAAAGGGCAAGCTGACCACTCGTTTTCCTCTTATCACTTCATTTTCCCACTATTCTCTATTCCTCTTCTCAGCGCTTTATTTCACCCTAGTCATACTAAATGATGTCAGTTCTTTCAGTCTACAATTTCCCTCCTGCCACTCCCTGGACTTACTCTCATTTTTTTTCCTAGTTCCTCTTTCCCTCCCTCCCCTCTCTTTTTTCCTCTCCTAGCCTTTCACATCACAGCGGCCTCCCTACAGGCACCAGACAGGCCCTGAATGCAGCATCGGGGAAGCGACCTTCAGTGCATCGTGGCCAACTGACTGGACAGACCCTAGCATAGAAACACCACACAACATCGCCTCGCTCAGTTTCGTTTATACAGTTCTAAAAACACTAAAACATCTGCTGAAATGCACACAACTGATCACTATTGTCCTCACTTCGCTCTGGATTTGGACATCTAATCAGACCTACTGATCAAGAGGCAGATGGTGCTGCCAAAGCCTGGCAGCAGTTTGGCAACATGTTTACTCAATGCTTCTTCTTTGTGATAATTTTTATGTAGCACACAAAAACACCACAAAACTCAGAGTATATTGAGGATAAAATACAATCAATAACTTTAGAAGATATAATTTTTGGATGTCCATTTGTGTTGTATCAACCAATAAAACATTTGTTTAAAATATTTAACAGATTCGCTTTTGAAAAAATTGATTTCTATTATTTTTACAATTAAAATTCAATACTACTTGTTTTATGGTTAACTGTTAAGCCAATAACAAATTCAACTTGCTGTGTAACATAATATTTTCTGCTTAAGTACTTTATATTATTTACTACATGAGGAGCATTTAAACATTTTTATGTAATATATTTAAATGTTTAAAAGAATAAAAACAAAATGTGCTTACCAAGGAATAATAAATATCAGACATAATTTCCTTCTGTTTGCAATACTTCATTTTAAGATTTTAAAGTTATTAAACAACTTTAAAGTCTTACACGAGCAAAAAAAAGGACAAACAAAAAAGGAGAAGCAGTAAGACATTACTTGACACTGATTTACCGTGCATCTATAAATTTTTATTAATATTTTATGCAACGTTCAATAAAGGAAAAAATATTTATACTTTAATTGTCAATTCAGACTAGATATAATACACACATTGTATAATAAAACACATAACCTTCTTCTTACTGACATCAAATCATGCTAGCTTTTTCTTAAGGTCACTTAGGATTACTATAATTAATTCCTTTTGTTAAATAATCACAGATTTATTTTGTTTCTTTTACATAAATTCAGATGTTTACATTCAGTAGACGTTAGAAAACGTTTGTAAACCCCTGTTGATAATAACATGGCTGATGAGGTTCTGACTGTGTTTATCTGAGACAATTAAGTTTAGGGCAAACCTGTGGTTGTTTTTGAAGCACACCTCACACATTTATCTTCTTCTCGTGAGTAATTTGTCTAAAGGTGCTACTTTCATCTGTTTACCTTCCTCCACAGACTAGGCAGCACAGACATCTCTAGCCATCATAATGTTAAGAAAAGGGTTCTGTGTGGTAGAAACTTTTCTGCAGAACGTGTGTTTAAGCCCCCCCAAAAAAAGGAAAAAAATTCTGTGAACATGTTTGTTAAAAGTTGATAGAACGTGTCAGTGAAGGAAGCCATTACTCTGAAAACTAGACAAAAGCCAAATTGCAGTTTGTAAACATTCAGGGACAAAAATGCACATTGTAGATACATAACCTGTGGTCTGATTAGACTGAAAATTAGAGGGACAGCTGCATTTTGCAAAATTCACCTCTGGAAAATCACTGCACTGAATGCCATTGAAAACATCATGGTTATGCACCAAATACTGACATCTAAAGTCTTCCTGAGTTAAAACATTGGTATTACTGTTTATAAATCATATGTACTTGTTGTCATTGCGTTATTCAAGGTCTGAAAGCTTCTTTTTTTATTACTTTGATCATTTTTCATTTTCTGCTAATATTTTTGCTTGGAATTTCAGACATGTTAACAATGGCTCACATTTTACTCATATACCTATCAAGAGTAAAATCAGAGAAACTGATAATTTTGCAGCAGCCTCTGTATTTTTTCCAGAGCTGTGTATAGTTTCACAACAGAGAAACATCACAGCATTTCGAGCATATTATCAAGCACTTTAAGTATATCACTGAATTATCTACAAGTGATATAAGTGTAACATTTATTCATGTTTTGAGTCACAAGGTCCAGATCTCCGTCCAAAATGGGAGGACAGAAATGTACAGAAATGAGAGTGAGGCAGCCTAAAAATTGGACCCATTTACACTATTTCTGTCAGGAGGAATGGGCCAGAATGACAGAAAATAATTGTGCAAATCTCATGGTAAGGATACACAAGGCATTTGACCCAAGCCTTAAAGTTTAAAAGGCAATTCTACCAAATGCTGACAAACATCTATGGCAACTTTTGAGTTTCAGAAAAGTTCTCTTTCGCATTATTTTGTTACTTTGCTTAGCTAACCAAACAAACAGGGAAAGTTTCACTTGATTCAGTCAGTAAGCGAAAAAAAAAAAAAAAGGTTTATGCGATGAATATAAATATATGGTTTGAACTGTACAATAAGAAAATGCCACGCATATTTTCTGACCCTTCGTGGTTTTCCTTTAACCTACAGAGCTGTGTGTTGCAGGACAGTATGTCCTGAAGTTGCATCAACTTGTTGCTTTGAAAAACACCGATTACCCATCACCACACAAATGAGCTCTAATCAAATGATGAACCGTGCATGTGTTAAACAGTTATGTTCATCGTTGGCACATGAACCGAATTTATTCTGATTATCACTGGATGAAAACTGATTTGACTGGAAAATCTTTGCACTGGTTGGTGAGCCTGACATCTTGTGTTGAATCAGTACACGCTGTTCGCTCCTGGATCCAACAAGCTACCGTCCACCTCTGCTCACACTGCCAGGAAGAAAGTCTGTAAAAATAACTCAGCCTACTATGATGAACCCAGTGAACCGGAGCGAACAACCGCGTCAGCAGCACCGGGCCGGCCGTCGCTCACCTGTCAGGCTGTCGTAGCACTCGATCTCGGTGTTCTCCACGGCTCTCCGCTGCTCCTCGGTCAGCTTGGCCGCGGCTTGACTCAGCAGGTTGACCTCGGAGCCCGTCGTCCCGTCCACAACATGAACCCCCTTCAGCTGGAGCAGCGCGCGGTGGTACTTGCCTATCGCCTCCCGGAATTTCTTCTCCTTGTAGCAGCGGTGGCCCTCCGCTTTGAAGTCGATGGCTTTCTGAATCTTCAGCTCCATCTCCGTTTCGGCCGAGCCGGCTCGATACCCGCCGTCTCCTCCTCCACCGCCTCCACTACCGCCGCCTCCTCCTGCTCCGGCGGCCGCTGCCAGGCTACGACCGCCAGACTCCGGGTAGCTTTTCAGGCTTTTTATCTGGTGTTGTTTGGCTTCCATGTCTCTCAGTGGACGCAGCTGGAGCGGGCCATTGTGCTCGGTGTGTTTCTTCGGGGAGCTCTGGAGCAGCGTGCTGTGCATAAAGGATGCGGTATCGGCGGGGCAGGCAGGCGGCACCGAACTGACTGGAAGCGTCGATAAAAAAAAATAAAACCCGAAAGAGACGAAAGAAACAGAGGCAGAAGGCGCGTCTGAAGATTGTCACTGGCGCTTCAAATCATAAATGCGAGTTAAAAAGGCGAAAAAGAGCGAAGAGAAGCGGGAGGAAGCATCCCGAAATTAGCAAACGGCCCAACCGTCGGAAACAGAATTCCGCTTTCTGGTCTCGCGGAAGGAAGGATGCGCCTGTGGACGGCACGCGCAGCTTCAGCACCACAGACAGCGCGCGCACGAAACCCTCACACCGCACAGGATGATGGGAGAGAAAGAGAAGTCGTGAGGCGTTGCTGCGGTAGAGATTTTACGTGAAATGACAAAAAATGAAATTAAAAAAAAAAGGCCACGCAAACATTTATTATCAATAACTATTTTTTTTTATCACTACAATTAAATAATCCGGGTTTTACTCTTATACATATAGTCAACGAGAAGCGCCGGATGGCTTCAGCTGATAAGGTTTTCAGAGATGGAGAAACAGCAGGAGGGTGCATGCCAGGGAAAGAAGAGAATGCAGCGACCTCAACTGGTCATAGAGTAAAATACACATGTTTATGGGCTGTCGAGGCTCAATATCTCCATATTTAAAATGGTGTGAGATTTAAATTGATGGCATTTAATTCATATAAGCTCATGTGTGGGGATACTTAAATTCAATGGCCCATTACTTAAACCTGTGTACTGTTTTATAGTCGTGACAGACAACAAAAAACACCATTTACATACGAAACAGGGCCGGCCCAAGGCAGAAGCAAATTGAGCAGCCACTTAGGGCTTCAGGGACACCAAGGGGCCCTCTCAGTGGAGCAAACTTTTTTTTTAGTAATAATTTCTATGTCATTATAAATTTAAAAACACACAATTTCACTATGAAGTGATTTGTTTTTACAAAAATATATATTTGATAATGTATTTAGAAATTATTTTATTGACAAAGAGAAAAAAACTAAATTGCTCTTGGGGTCCCCATCCAGACGTTCAAAGCTCCGGTCAGAGGTTAAATAAGCAAAACAATGCCTCAAAAATGGACTTATGCTTCAGGGCAGGGCCGTGCAGAGACCTTTGGAGGGGCAGGAGCTCAGTTTAAAAAAAAGGGCACATTGAACAACTATTCAAGTGTGCTTAATTAGCAGGCTGATACCTTCTCTTAAATGCTATTGAAGAAGCAACAGTGCACCACTGAACAGAAGCAGAGGCCGTTTTGCCTTTTTGCAACGACTTAAATTGAGTGCAAATTTGGAGCTAGGACCGCTTTAAACAGGAATTCTGTTTAAAAATCCACTGATGTTTTTATCTTACGTTTAAAGTGAGATGATTTCTGAGAATTTAAGTGATAAGCAACAGATGGCAGAAATTTTAAATGCTTTTTTTCCCCCATGGAGATGAAGTGTCTCTATTGATGTCACTGTTAAAAAATAAAAATCAGCACGTGCAGACCGGAGGTTGAAAAGGTTTATTGATAAATGAGGTGCTCAAGTGTTTTCATAGGAAACGGGTGATCACTTTGCCTTCATAGGCTAATGCAGACATTGAATATAACATTTCTATTATTTTTCAAGCACAATTTGTTCGAAACCAGAACATTTTTTTCCCCTCAATATCTTAAAAAACAAAAGAAAACAAAACCATCAACGCTGATGTTTTTTTGCTCTACTTTGTTTGTCCTTTAAACCATAAAAACATTTAAAAATATTTACAGTGCAACCAACTGCAGCTTCGAACAATCTCTAAGAGGACTGAGGCGAACTATCTACGGTGAACTGATGTCATCTATGATGTTCTACACCAGAGCATCCAGGTGGAAATACAAAAATCAGAGCAGGTTTTCTACTCACACGGGTTCAAGTAGGCTGTAGAAAACGCCCAGGTCGAAAGGATAAAAGGTGCTACTACCGTTCCAACAAAGCACTGAAGCAAAGGTATGTTGCTCTTCGAGTCTTCAGGGTTCAATGAGGATTCATCAGCATGATTTTTCTTTTTTTTTTATATCTGCTAAAAAAAAAGCTCAGAAGCTTTTGATGATGATCATGGTGCAGGAGGTATTTTCAGGTCGGGAGAACACATTTAAATTCCTTAATCATCTCAGGATGTGTAGTGTGTCTAACTGCTGAGAGCTAATCTAAATTTATCCAGCTAATACATTATTTTTTAGGAAATTTTCAACAATTACGCATAGTCTAAGGATTGTTAAATGGGAGTACAGGCAGCAGTCTTTACACAGGTGCATTTAAAATAGCTAGACTATCACCGAAAAGCTGATTTCATGAATTCAATTCAAAAAGCGAAACTTTTCTGTAATCTGTATTAAAAATATTTTTTAAATGGTTTGGTGTCTGATTACACTAAATTCTAGGATTAGGATTAAAGAGAACTGAAATAAAATAGTGAAGAATATCACTGTGGGTGGAATGAATATATATCTGAGTTTATCTTTTTGAACTGAGTGATGAAAATAAATGACTTTTGATTACATTCCAACTCGTTTTGATGCACCTGTATGTTGAGTAAACAGGGAAAATTAAAACAGCATTTCAGCTCATGAACATAATTTAACATATAAAATACAGAAAAGACTGATATGACATGATTAAAAAAAAAAAAGCCACATAAAAACACGGCATTACTAAAGCTGTTAAATAAAAGTCCCAAGACCAAATAAAAGTGACTCATCAATGGCAGCAGGAGAAAAAAAAACATTAAATAATAATAATAATAATACCAACTTTCCTTCCTGAACGGAGGAGAAGGAGGATGGCTGCAAACTCTGTAGTAAGAGTCTGAATCATGGTGTTAGGGTTTCTTGCTGCCCAGTCTTTTGAAAACACTGACAGCCTTGACGTCCATCTTGGCCCCCGCAGACTCCCCTCCTCCCCCTGGGCTGTTGCTGCTGGTGACCTTTGAACTGGCTGAAGTGGATTTCTCCAGTGCTCTGGATCTGGTGCTCGTCACTCTGTTGTCCTGAGTGTCAGTGGACGTTGGCGTCACTGCAGCGCCTGTGGCGGGGGGCTTGCCCAGTCTCTGAAGAATGCTGATTTTGGCCGGCGGGAGGCCGTTTGGGGGTGAGGTAGAAGAGGAGGTGGGAGCATCGGAGGGTAGCCGCTTGAATTTCCCACCCAGGCGGCGCAGGGTGGTCGGGGGCGTCTTGGAAGCGGGCGCTTTCTTCTTCGTCGGTGTGGGTCTCTTGAGGACGCCGGCATACTGCAGGACAGAGCCCTCGCCGTCGGTGTCCTCGTCATCTTCATCCATGTTTGCGTCCGTGTTTCCCGGCTTCGGCGTCGCTCCGCTTTCGCCCCCCTTGTCCAGGCGGCTGAACACCCCGGTGGGCTGCCAGAACACGCCGAGGTTAGGTCACAGCTTTACTCCAGGCTGCATTTGGAAGTCACGGCGACCACACTCACCTTGCTGTTACTGGTCGTCGTGTCTGCCATCGACTCGGCTCCAAGTCTTTCAAACACAGAGGTACGCTTCAAGCCTGTTTCAGAGAAACAAACCGTTTCTGTCAAACAGAAAAGGTCACAGCTTATGAAACTAGGGCTGAGTGATGAACTCAATGCTCTCTTTCTGGAGATGAATTTTTAGGAAAATTATGATTTTTTTTTTTTCATCTTAGCTTTTCATTGATCAGAGCAATGTCAGCCCACCCAAGAACCACCATCTTGCTTGATAAGCGTGTTTTACAATTTCTATTTAGTTTGCCTTTGAATTCAGGTCGACTCAAAGAAAAATTATTTAAATACGTTTTTAAAAAAATATTTTTTATCATTTAAATTCATTTTAAGAATTAAAATGAGGAAAAACATTGATTAAAATTATGAATTGAATTTAGTATTAAATAATATATACATTTCATTTTTAAGCCACATCTGCCAGCCCTAGTTAACACTTATGCAAGGTTATTTTTTTCTCAGTTATATAAGATAAATGGCTAGACAAAAGGTTTACTGAACCCTTTTCTGCCACGGATGTCAAAACAAGTCTTTGTATAATTCATCCAAATTTGTTTAACTTGGTGTTGGACATAGTGAAATATTATAATTTATTGAATTTCCATGCATAGCAATTGAAAGTCCTTTGAGAACAAACTAATGCTATCAGGACATTACTTAAGAAATAATAAATTAAAACAAAAACAAAAAATACAAGAAGCAACATACTCACAAATTAAGATGCATCTTAGGAATTCAAGATCCACACAAAAAAACTGGAAAATTGTATTTCAAATGTAACATTTAAGGCCTACTGTTCATATGATTCAATGAAACATTTTTTATTACTTTGATTTTAGAGATATTTCACAAAAACAAATTTATGGCAGTAACAAAAAGTGAAAATGGTTAAGAGGTGTGAATGCTTTTGGGAGCCACAGTGTAAAAAGTCACTTCTTCTACATTCAGGGTTCATTGAGACTAAAAAGTAATAGTGCTTCTTTAAAACAGAGCTAAACTGAAAATCCTCAATTAGTCAACTCTGGGGCTGAATTTTAACACTTTATTTTTCGTTTTGATGTGTTAGGTGCGCTACTGGAAAATGTGTTTTCTCTTCGCAAATGAGAAAAAAAAAGTGCTGCCATAAATATTTTAAGAATGAGTGTTCAAAAAGTGTCAAGAATGAAGGAAGAACAGCATAAGAAAATATTGATTTGAAGAAATTATTTTGAAAACTCTAAGTGCTCTTTAGGAAACTTTTCGAAATTTCTTCAAGGATGAAGCAAAGGCAAAGAATTCAGATTTTGCAGATAGTTTGTGAGGTCAGAGATATTAAGAAATGAAGGAAGAACAATTACCCTGATTAGGAATATTAGTGAAGCTGAAAGGGGCATTTAGAGTTGATTAGTTGAGTGCTGCTGTTGGTTAGTTAGGCTGTCGGCAAGACCGCGGGGTCAGGCCTACCTTTCTTGGCCTGCTGGGCCAGGATTCGACGTGTACGTGGCGTGGTGCCCTTTGGCATGTTGATGATGTACTTGCCTTCCATCTCAGCTGTGACACGTCGGCGCTTTGCTGCAGGTTTCCCCTCGTCGGCTGGCTGGCTTACGACTGGAAAAAGACACGGGGATCAAACGGCGCCGCAGGAAGAACAACTAAATGAAAAAATAAATACTAATTCAAACATGTCTTCTACCTGCTTTGCTGTTCTTGTTTGCCTGCGAGTTGGACACTGTGACTGAGAGCCGGTTGTCAATGGGTCGGCGGACTGGCGTGGCGGGAGGGGAATCATGGCTCAAAGCGTTGGCAATCATACGAGTAGCAGCTGTAAAAACACACAAGTATGACAAATTGTCAATATTGTCACAGTTTTTTTTACCCCAAATTATTAAATTAAATCAACTATGGAAAAGCCAGAAATGCAAATGTCGTTAGGATATATTTAAACTATACAATTACGGTTCATCTTCACCTTTTTCAAGATGTCTAACTTGCACAAAACACTTTGTGGCAGAAAATATTAAATCTAATACAATATGAACTCTTAACCAGCACAGAGAACCTACAAGGACAACAGAAATCACACGATGAGTTTTGTGGGGAAACATGTGGCAAAAGTTTTTTTCTAGTCAGTCGTACTGAAAAGTCCAGGATCTTAACTCATTTTTCAATCTGTTTAATAAGATCTATAATATCAAGAGAACAAAATATTACCTGAATTCCTTTCAGGCTGCACTGTTTCAAATGATAGTTTTTATTTTGTATTTTTCATCCAGTTTAACTAAATATGCACACAGGCCACTTTTTCTTTTTGATTACCATATAGTTTAGTAAACAAATAGAAAACAAGGAATAATCTTGATTCAAAGTTTCATAAATTTGACTCCTTTTATATAAATAAAAAAAAACATATCCACCTTTGCTGTAGTGGCAAAATAAAAGATTACAAGAAATAAGTAAAAATATTTATCAAAACAAAAAGCTTGATTTCCTAACCTCGTCATCTGATCTATGGCAAACGCTGTGTGTGGATCGTCAGCGCCAGTGTAGTTACTGCTAACACAACACATAATGATTCAAGCAGTTCTCCATCTGGCTTCTGGGTGGGCTGACAGATTGATCAGGTATTCATGGAGAAGAATGTGATGGAACGTCATGCAGAGTGGCCTGCTGGGACAGGAGTGCTAACTGAAGAGCACTTAACTTTTATCTGCACCCTCACTGGTAAAGTTGAGCTAAAAAGTGGTTTTAAAAATAAAAAGGTCAAAGTTGGTAAAAAAAAAACTAAAAAGATGGGAAGCTGTACAAGAACAATTTTCTGGACTGACTGGAAGCATTTCACACAAGTGTGGATGCTATAAATTATGATGGATTTTACGGATTTCACCCAGGATGTGCTCACTAAGAGAAGGTTCTGTCGAGCTCTTTGTTTCTTTCATGTCACCACCAGTCGTTTTTATAAGATGCAATATTACGAATATTTGCAGACTTCTTGGAGCCTTGATTTTTAACATTTGAAATTGGTTATAAAGTCCAGCAGAAAGAGACACAGAGCTAACTTTAGAGGCAGGAATGAAAACCCAAACCTCCGTAAGAGAGTTCTGCATTTATTGATGCCGAAAAAAAGAGTTGCGCTACAGTCATCCAGTTTCATTGGATGTTATTTTTGAATGCTGCTGCTCAGGTCTGTTTCGTATGGTGCTGCAAGTTGTTTTGTTGCTTAACAAATCCTTTGTTTCGTTGCCTGTAACCTTTGTCTTCTGTTGACGTCGTGCTCAGTATTGTGGTCTCCGCCTCGTACAGAAAAATCTAATCAAATTTTCATTACTCACGAGACTTGGCCGTTCGTCTGAGCTCAGCCTGGACACTGGTCTGTCCTGAGGTGATGGCCTCAGCTGCCATTTTGCACATGTCCTGAGAAAACAACACCAGCAGGAAATAAGAATTTAGATCAGACCTAAAAAACCCCATCAAACCAGACCCGCCTCGAGCCAGTGCACATTGTGTCCAAGCCTGATGCAACCCGACTAATTAACTGTAATCATAGCCCGGAAGTAAATCTGACATTCTAAACAAGATTTTACTGCTTTTGTTTTTAGATGAAAACATTAAAAAATTATAATTTGAGTAAGGAGTGTAACTTCCGCTGTTTTTATCTTTTTAACATCTTCCAGCTCCAGTTAGTCATCTGGGATGTGTGACTGACAGGAGAGGAGCACAGGGGGGCTGAATGCACATTTATTATGCCCATACTTGTTACAGTCTAACCTCTGCCCTTTACTTCATTTCTTTCCTCAACAAGGTAAGCTGCCAACTCTTCTCTTAAGTCTATCATAAGCAAATTAACAAGAATAAAACGTGTGATTATGTTTGATTTTCTTTTTTTCCCCCATTTGTGCTAGATAGTTTGTAGGTATATTTAACATGCCGCAGTTGACATAGCCTAACCCGACAAATACAGACCACTAACTTTACTAGAGTCCAGTTCAGTTTATTCAATTTGATAAAGTTTATAATCTCAGGAACTAATTTTTAAGCTTCAGGTGGGATTTACTTTTAAACACAGAATTAAAAATTGTGTTCATGACAAGAAACTCTAAAGCACTTAAACAGAAAAAATAAACATAATAATAAACATATGTATGAGGGAGGCTTTTTCACAGCACTTTATATCCCTTAGACTGTGTTCAAATGTTTTCATTGGCAAGTGCTTGGTAAAGTAAAACTCAACAGCCAAGGAACTGAAAGATAAACATGGATTCTTGCCTCACCTGCCTGTGCACCTGTTTGGCATGTTTAAGAATGGCAATGATGTCTCCGATGACTGTAATGCCGAGGTCCATCATGATGTCTTTACTCAGGTCCATTAGCATGTTCTTCTGGATTCTGACAGAATAGTGCAAGCAAAACCAGATACAAACATTATGAAGATGATACATACATAAAGTGTTGCTTTAAGAAAGAAATGTGCTGAGAAACTGGCTGCCAAGATGAATCATTTGATTTTCTGTTAGACTGGCTTTGATTGGACATCGAACGATTGGAAACTAAAAATTGGATCTCATGTTTTCACCACAGCTAAGCACTATAAACACTCTCAACTGGTGCTAAAAACAACATCCTTCAGTTGTGAAATTGTCAGCGAAGAAAACAGAAAAGTCAGAGGAAGAAAAAAATTATTAAAAGCTTTTAATAAATAAAGCAATCTTCTTGTTTTACTTATATGCCACTGAACAGCTGTTTTCCACTTTTGACTTCGGTTACAGGATCAGCTGGATTTTAAAAGTTGTCAAGCTGTTTGAAATCTCACAGATTACAAAAAAATGTACTTAGTTTAGAGGGACAACGGGAACACAACAGTTCTGCTAAACCGTCAGTAATGCTTCATGCACTAGTCAGTAACATAGTGAGAAAAAGTAGTTTAAAAACATCAAAACTTCATGTTTTTGCAACGAGTTTCCGCTGAAATCCTGCTTAACAGCACACAAACTGATGACAGATCTTTAATTGTAGCCAACCTGACACACACACACCTGTCCAATAACAATGCGTAATCAGCATCTTTATACGACACCTGCGAGGTGGGATGGATTTTCTCTGCAAAGGAGAAGCGCTCAATAACACAGACTTGGACATTTTTTGAACAATGTATAGAAAAGGATTTGGATGTTTGAGCTCAGCTCATTACAAAATGGGAGTAAATATAATTGTTGGATTTACATTTTTGTCTGGTGTACTAGAAAATATCTATTCTATCATTTGTTTCAGCACGTTTAAACAGTTTCCTCTGTCTTAGAAACTGGAGTACTTCATGAAATTGGATTTCCAATGTCGCACACAGGGAAAGAGAATCTGTAACCTTCTCCTCTTTTTAGGAAAATCCTTTTTCATTTACAATACACATTTTATGAAGATTTTATCATTCTTTTTCATATAGAAAGAAAGTAGAAAAAAAACAATCTGTTGGCTGGAATTGGAATCAGCGAAAATCAGTTTTGGAACATCAGACCTTTACAGAGTCAGTGATTTTCTGACCGATACGTCTGTAGTAACATGTTCATGAAGACTTTAAGTTACCTGTGGTCCACAAAGGAAACTGCATAGGTGACAGCGAGGCCGGCAGGAATCCCTGCATCCTTAAAAAACTGAATCCACTCCGAGGTGGCTTTGGACAAAAACAAAGCAAATAATTAAAAAAAAAAAAAAAAAAAAAAAAGAATATATATATATATATATATATATATATATATATATATATATATATATATATATATATATATATAAATATATATATATATATATATATATAGATATGATAAAAAACCAAGACTTTTCAGTTTTAAAACGTAAAGAGGTGAAATGCAAACGATGAAATAAAAACTGGCACAAATGGGCAAGGAAACAAAAAGTCATCTGCTCTCTCAAACTATGAATTGATGGTTGCCAGTATCAGTGCAGACTACAGTGAGGGAAGCTGGCTCTCACCAAACCCCAGTGGGAGACGCAAACTGAAGCAGACAGCGGTATGTGGAGGACTAACACATGCTGACCATAAGCAGCTGGAGGTTATTTATACCACCAGTGATGAAACATCTTTAGTTACAGTGACAGAGTGAAGGAAGCAGAGAACAGCTGCCACAACAATAACCAGCCAACACTCTCTGGCTAACCGATGAGCTGAGGATGGAGGCAACTCTCACCCTGGCTAAATTACCATCTGACACCCACGGAGTCCACAATTTCCCACATTTTGATTGGCTCTTAATAGTCAAAAAGACGCTTTTTTGGAGGAAATGTTGACCCTAGAACTGTTTACATTTCATAAGCTCAATTTCTGCCCCAACCATGTAATCTTGGGAAAACTACCAAACAAATAAAGATGGAGGAATAGTGCCGTTCTGCAAAGTTATTTGTGAACACTCAGGCTCTTAAAGAATAAAGCGCAGACACAAATACGTCACAACTAGGATGCTTTTACACGAGTCTTTCAAAATAGAAGCGTATAATTTAAATGCCACAAAGACAAAGAACTGGGCTTGGTCATCTTTCATCTTTGGCATACAAAAAACATATGAAGCCATTTTATAATTATTATGTCGCGCTACTTTGAGCAAAACTGAGAGAAATCTCCACCACTTAATTATGAAAATTAGTCTTTAAAATCTTGACCACAGCACGGCTTGCAAACGCGTTCTCCCGCTTGACCTAACAAACGAAGAAGCAGCTCTGCGCTGCTGGTTGTTCCGTCCATAGATGAAATGAGACGTTAAGAAAAACCCACCAGCAGCAGCAGATACATGTTAGCATCGTTTAGCCGCTACATAAAAGAAACTAGCATTCGTTAGCGACACAAACTGCAAACAAGAAATACCGCCGACGCCGTGACACAGTTAACAACTGACACTGTCTCACAAACGCTTCCACGAGTATTTTACTGTTTTTGTCAAGTATTGTGTCCGCCTCGCCGGGCCTTGACGCTCTCACCTGTTGTCACGGTCGCCATGTTTGTAATGAAGGGTGACGCAATTTCCGGTGATATGGGCTTCGACGGTGGGTGCAGTTCTGATTCATTGACGATAGATGGCGATATAGATTCATATTCCCCACGAGGTCACACAATTTGTTTTTTTTTTTTGCTTAATGTTTGATTTCTACCCCAGAAAATAAAGGTGCTCAAACTGAAAATCAGATTTGCGTTCAATGTGAGGCTATGCCATTAAATGAAAGATTCATTTTAAAGATTCTTATTTCAAATTAAGCATATGTGTCACATATATGTAGCTTAAAACATATAAATAAAAAATAGGACAAAATAAACAAATAAAAAGCTTGAGAAAAATGCATTTTATAATATGATTTTTATTTACGTTTTCTTCACAAATTTCAAATGGTAGTGTAACCATCAGTAAAAGCTGAAGCTCCCGCGGCATTTTACAATCAAGAGGAAAAATGTTATAATGTAAACTTTTCATAACATTAAATAGGATCAGAGGCTAATATCTGCACAGAAAGAGTCAGCGAGGAAAAACTGTAAATATTTCTGCTCTGTAAAGATATATATATATATTTTCAGGAGTAACAAACAAATACACTCCTGAACACGACATATTCTCATCCATGCGCCTCAAGTAACATGTTTAAATTAATCTTCTTTGGGCATAAGTTCGAAAATATTTCACATTTGTTTTTGTTTCTATATATTCGGAGAGCACTAAATGGTAAATGTTTTGCTCCTAGATAAAAAAAAATAAAAAAAAAGGAGTAGAAATTGTAAAGACAATAAAAAGTTTTCTGAAAACTGTTCATCATCAGTAAATTAAAAAAAAAAAACACGTACACCTCTGAGCTATCGCTTTTTCAGTTAGATTGTCTCAAAATAAATGCCACTTTGAATATTTATTTACGTATTTATATTTAATACTGTAACAAAAGTGGATAGGTATAGCAATACATCATCACACTTGACACAGAGTAGCAGTGTGTCTAATTACTGCAGGATATGCTACATTAAGTTCAGACTGTAAGTATTGCATTTCATGACAGGGATAATGTGAGCGGCGAACGAAGCACTCTGGAAAAATAGAAACACGTAGCAACATTCACCCCATCATAGAAAAATAGGAAAGCTCTTATTCAGTTAATGCTATTGCAGCATTACAGTACATGTAGACGCAGGCAGGCTGTCTGTCTCGGATTTATTAAGCTGCCTATACATTCGTTTTCCTTCTGTAACGTCTCCATTTCCAATCGTTTGGCAAAGCGCTCTTTCTCTTTTTCGACTGTAAACATACAGGCATTTAAAGCAAACTTAAACAGATGAAATCATACCTGCTGACAGAGCAAGAGAGGGAGGGACTTTCAGAGATCAATTTGGTACCCTGAAGAAGCAGGCAGTGGGAATTAACCTCTTGGATCGCAGACTTTTTACTCTTAAAAAAAAACAACAAACAAAAAACAAACAAACAAACATCCCTCCCTCTTGTTTCCAGTCTAAATAAAGAAAATCAGGCAAGCAGGACTTTCCATTCACTTTGAGCCACAGCAATGGCAGTGTGCAGCCTTTCCACCACTAAACTCCACCACCACGTTTTCTGATCTGCCTCGTATAGTATATGTAGCACCACGAAAACCTATGTACATGAGAACTGTTGAATATATTTTATGCTTACTCTGACACCAGTACATAATTTGTCATCACATTTGCATTTTTTGGGAAAGTGAAAAAAAAAGGCATCTCCAGCACTTTTACACAGTCCTTATTCAAGATTAGAGAAAATAAAATAAAATAAAATAGCATAAAATAAAATAAAATAAAATATGAGGTCTGCCCCTTTTCTGACCACCAGGAGCCAAGATGGAGCAAACAATCACGTTACTTGTCCAGGGTTTCTGAAAGTTTTTGGTGACATTTATGACATTTATTGGAACAATGCTGTTCCAAAAGTAGATAAAAGAAAAATATTCAGACACTTTTCTTACTATAATCACTCAGGTGTCCCCCTCCCCCACTTACTCCATAGCTTAAGCAAGACAAATCTAACTTTCTAAGCCTAAATTTGAGTTTTTTGACTTTTCCATTTATCCCCACCCAACTTCAACATCTTAATACAGTAAATAACTATCTTCACGACTGTAGCTTACAACATATTTTAGCCTTATTAAAGTCCCTGTTTTCAAGTTAACTTAAATGTACCTTTTCCCATGCTGAAGAAGGAGTAGGTAGTGGCTCACCTAACACAAACCGTTTGGATTTTCTTTGCCTAAACTTACAATTATCCACTTTTAAAACAATAATTCTTTGCAGGTTTGCAGGAAAAGCTGAATATCTGAATGGTACAATTTCCATTGACTGGGCTTATTCATTCCACGCACTGTGGGATTTATAGTTTTCCAACAATGTGCTAGCGCCTCAGTTTCTCAGCAAGAGTGACAATTAAGAGAAGAAACAAATGTTTCCAGCACGTCTCTCAAGAAATAACATAATAAAAAGAAGATGGTGCAAGAAACAACTGAATAAATGTACAAATTTAAGACATAACCAAATATAATTTGAGACCAAATTGGGATTTTTTTATGCGTATATTTAAGACTTCAATGGCTAATTAGCACATATGAAATTTTGAATTTTTATTGACTTCTCAAAACCTTGCAGAAACCCTTAATGATGCTGATGTCTTTCAATAAGCAAGTTTATTAGATCAAAATAAAGCCTTTTTTTTTTTTTGCAAACAACATTTTTTAAGCTTTTTGGGGAACACATTTTACTAAATATTATCCTTCAAACAAACATTTCTGGAAATTTGCAAGGCGATGGTGGAGGGCGGATATGCATTGTGCGTGTATGCGTGTGAAACTTTGACCTTTTAAAACTGAACCAAGTTACAAATACATCTGCTGACATTCACTCACTAGAGGCATGAAGGGGTCAGTAGCTTTGGGACAGACCTCACAAACAAAAACCACAATCTTCCAACATCATTGTTATAAACATACAATAAATGTAAATTGGATAGTGCTTTTATATTGTTTATAAAACATAAATACACATTGACAAAGGCAGTGACATCGTGCTTCATGTTCAGGGACAGGGCAGTATTTTAAATTCAAATTTTTTTTCTTGCTTTATAAAAATATGTTGTTTTTTTAATATTATTATTTTTGTACTTTTACCTTGTTCTTCATTGACAAAAATATTCCATTTATATCTGCAGACATTCATACATTACAATCATGGTACATAACACGTATACATGTACATGTTACCGTTTAAATGTATATGCATATAAACGTTTAATTCAATTTTTTTTTCTTTTTTTTTGTAGTGCACATAATATGCCTCCTAAGTTGCCAAATGAAAATATAACAAAATAAAATAAAAACAAAAACAACAAACTAGCTACATTGCAAAACAGTAATAGTTAACAGTTATGAATAAATCTCCCGAATAAGTTGAACAAAACGGAAATTTAAAAATAATAGTTATTAAAAAAATGGCAACGGTACAAGAGAAAGCAAGAACAATGAGTCACATAAACAAACACTGAAATATATAACAGTTTTCACTCAAACAATACAGAGGAAAAAAAAATGTACAAATTCACAGGCGAAAGAAAAAGGACGCTCACTCCACAACATCAGCCCCGTGTTCTCTCTCTCCACTTGTTTTTTTTTGTTTTTTTTTTCTTCTTTCCGGGTCTTGCCTTGTGCTCGGATCGTCGTTTCAACCTCAATAAAGAAAGAAATAAACGGGCCGGGTGCCTCAGAGTGGACCACCCACTGACAATAAACGCCTCCTCAGCTCCGCACAGGGAGAACAGGGGACAGGAAGCAGAGGCCACCGAGCCCAACGTTTAGAGGTTGTCTGAAACACTTTTTTTAAAAAAAAATAATAATAAAATAGATATAAGTCCCTCCTATGTATGAATGCATTGATTCACATCTGATAAAACTGAGTTGCTGCAGCTAAACCTCAGATTTCAGAGACTTGAAAGCCCCGGGCGTTGAGTTTCTTTAATGTGAAGACGGTTTTTTTTGTTTGTTTGTTTGTTTTTTTTTCCGAGGTCACATCTCCACAGAAGTGCTTCTCTCTCGTTTTTTGGTCCCTCTCTTTCTTTCTTTTTTTTTCTCTTTTTTCTCTTGCCCACCCATTACTTTATCATATCTACACCCAAATTGGATGATAGGATATCCTCCGCAGGTGTCTGTCCTCCATGCCTGCACTCAGTTCCTATTCGCTTTTTTTACTCTCCAGCACAGCAGATGTATCTAATGTATCTTCATCGTGCGAACAACATGAAAAATGGCTCAGCAGAAGACAGTGGCATTTCGTGTCGCGCTTTGTGCATCCGCGTGCGTTGCTAGACGTACGTGTAGCTGCTGTTTCAAATCGTAAAAAGGAATTGAGCAGTGAGCTCCAAAAAAGGAGAGGTTCTTCTCGTTTGGACGTCCAGATCCATGAATGACTGGGGTGCAAAAGTGGGGAGTGTTAGTTGCGTCGGCTTTTTCACTCAAGGTCCCAGGGGCTGGACGGGTTCTCCGGGCTCTCAGTGGTCGAGGACTTCAAAGAGAGAGGGAGAAATAAAAGAGACAGAAGAGGAGAAAAAAAAAACAGATGGGTAGAGATGGGTCGCATGGCAGGTTGGCAGACGGTGGAAGATTAAATTTTTTTTAAAAAAATTTTTTAACGGAAAGCACAAGATTTAGAGGAGGCTGTGATACTCAGATCCTCAACCTGCCAAGTCCAAGCAGCAAATGAAGAAGCATATAGAGCAGCCGAGCAGATGGAGGGTTACGGGTGAGCGAGCTGTGTCTGTCTTCCACAAGAAAAGACCCCGAACAAATTGTCCTTGGTCCCTTATTTCAGATCTGCACAAATACATTCAACAACAGGGCGGACGAGAGGAAAAATAAAAGAAAAAAGAAAAAGGTAATGGACAAGAATGAAAGCAAGAGCGTTAGCAGAAGGGCAACCGACAGAGGGAACAAGGTGGGGGCACTGGTGCGTGTTGGGGTGCAGCAATAACATCTATTTTACTCAATGAGAGTATTTTAATAAGAAAAATTCATTGTGAATCAGTTCTTTAAATCAGAGCACTTTAGACTGGTAACGAGCAGTCCCTGGCAAAAAGGCTTTCGTACGCCTTGAATTTTCCACACTTTGTCACTTTATATCCAAAAAAGCAGCCAAGAGGCCCGTGGTATCTCCGGGGGAGCTTTAAAGATCCACGGCTCGGGTGGGGGGATCCATCTACTAAACATCAACCGGTGGTGCGTCCCACTAGTCATGGCTTTTATAGAAAAATTGCAAGATTGATAAATTGTTGAAAGAGAGCCATAGGAAGAACCCCTTTGCAATTTTTAACAAGCCCTGTAAAGGGGCATAAGCAAGCGCGAGGTCAGAGCTGGCTGGCAGATGGACGGAGATAAACGCAGAACAACCTCGGAGGATAAACCCAGGAGACAGATAGGCCTTAAGTCTGTGGTGGAGGTTCGCCTTCCAGCAGCTCAATAACTTCAAACATACAAGCAAAGCTTTAAAGGAAGAGCTTAGGTCAACCGACGCATCTGATTTACGATGGATCCGTCAAAGTTTAGGCCTAAGTCCAGTTCAAAATCCATGACAGGTGCTGAGAATTGGTGTTCACTGATGCTCTCCAGCCAATATGTCTGAGTTTGAGCTATTTTGAAAGGAAGAATGGGCAACAATTACAGTCTCCAGATGCACCAGGCTGTCAGAGACGTAAGCCAAATGACACCAATACCACCAAAGGATTGTCTTACAAATGCACGTTCCTTCTTTGAACTTTATCTGTGAGAAGTTCGTTTCCTTTCAGTTTACAAGAATTGGCTACTCTCTGCTGGACAGTCACATAAAGTCCCAATGAAACGCTTTGAAGTTGGTGGTTTAATGTGACAAAATGTGGAAAAGTTAAAGCGCTTCGAAGAGTCTTCCAAGGCTCTGCAGGTTTTCGTAATGCACTTTTTAAGGGTTTTTTTTTGTAGAAACGTGTTAATCGTGCCCTGTTACAACTATTCGACTAAATACAAAACAGGAATGTATTCTTTGCTGGAGCTCAAATGTTAAAGGTTCGATCTGATGTGCAATTTATTTATTTTTTCTATGGCTCTTGTTAGGAATATATTTCCGGATGTGCCGCCCAATCAGGTTCGAATGACTGACACTTTGTTTTTCCTCAATCTGGGAGACTGATTGGCACTGTGCGTGTTCTCGTGTCAGCCTCTGCATCCAGTGAGCATTGGGCTTGTGAGTGGTAATCTATGCATGCATGTGTCTGTCGGTCAGTCAGAGCGCCAGCAGCGAAGGCGAGTTCAGGGAATCGGATGACTGCTCGCTACTGCTGTTCCGCTGGTTGGCACTGACCCCGCAGGCTCCCTCTGGGTAGGTGAACACAAATGAAGATGTGTATGAGGTGTTGTAACTGCCAATGGCGGCATCGTCATGGTTAACACCACCACCACTGTCACTGGCCATAAGGCATGGCCCACCAGGTGCTGGCTCAGCTGAGCCGTAGAAAGAACTAGAAAACTCTACCTCCTGCATCATCCCTGCTTGAGGCTGCTGCTGCTGCTGGACTTGCTGCTGCTGCAACGGAGGCTGGGGCTGTGTGGGGCCTGGGTGAGCAGAGTAGGCAGGAGGGAGATAGAAAGAGTCCTCCTTCACAGTCAAGCCCACAATGGAGACGGGAGGTGGCAGGCTCTGAGGAGCGAGCTGGGACTGCACTGAGGCCTGCTGAGCCTGCTCCTGGTACGGGATCTTGCAGTTTGGCTGGTGGGCCACCAGTACAAATTCCAGACGCTCTTTCTCCTTCTGCAGTTCGGAGATCTCGGCCTCCAGCTCCGCCTTCTCCTCCTCAAGTATGTCAGTTTCCTGTGTGGAGTTACAGGGAGCGAGAGGGCACAAGGGGGGAACAGGAGAAAGGTGGATGAAGTGAAGTAGAAGGTGGGCAGAAAGAGGAGGAACATCAATGTCAGCTGCGTCCATTTTCTACTCGGATATCTTTGTGAGAAGAGCTATAGTTCTGGTCAGAGGTTTGCACTCACTCTTCATCAACAGGTATAGTCAACAACAAGAGACTGCAATTACTTTTAAGCACCACATTTAGGGGTACAAGTTGAAATTTGCTCTGCCTTAATCCACAATACTCTCTGATCGAAGGTTTCTTAACAGATTACAGGGATCCCACAGGCATGTTGCAGCCATTGACAAACTTTTTGACCACTTATCACAACTGCCGGTTTCAGCTAGTGTTTGGATTCATCGTCCTGCTGGAACCCCAACCAACTGGCTTGTGACCATCTAGCAGTTAATTTGAGGTGACGATGTAAAATCTGGAGATAGTCCTGCATTTTTTTTAAAACTACGTCAGGTGAGTGGTAAACAGTGATGGCGTGACGACATAGACTCCAATGTGTATCTGCCCGGCTTTCTAACCAGAAAGGCAGACAGAGTGGCGAAATCAAATGTGGTGGATTAGCAGTGCTTGCCAACAACTGATGGTGTAATGCAGGACAAGTTACAGGAACATTGTCTCTGCTGCCCGGAAATTGAGCTGTTAGCGTAGCACAGCAGTCTTGAGACTATTATGCAGCAACGCTCTTTAGAAAGAGGCTCCGTGTTGCAAGACTGTCTGCCCACAGCATCCACAGCATGACATGAGTTAAGACACCATTTAATTTCCTTTTGGGATAAATAATCTAATTTTGAATTAATTCAGTTGAACTGAAAGATGCCACCTTCTTGGTGTGCTTGTCTTGGGTTTGAAATGATCGGCCTGACTACTTGAAACCAAACTTAATGTCATTTTTTTTGCAAATTGGTCGATATGTCTCTCCCTTCATTCCTTCTCAAAGATGTGAGTTTGGGAGCAGGAACAAAACAGTTCTTTCCTTTTATTGCCGTTTGCCTGGAACTGTGTTCTCTCAGAGGAAACGCTCTCACGTCTTGCAGGTAACATGTAAGCTGCCTTACAGATAAGTTCCCTAATTAGGTCAGAAATGCGCAGGTACAATAGCCGCTCTTCAAAACCATAATTTCTTTCCCGTAACAGCTGAATACAACTTACTATTATCCAAGTCCCCGAGGACCAATGTAAACCATTATTAACATACTTCACAATGCAATGGGAGTTTAGAAAAACAGCATAATTATGATCATCACTCATTCCGGCTTCCACAACAGGGCTCAACTCACCGATTGCAGCCTGTCTGTCAGTTCCCGTCTGCGGTTTCTGCATTTGGCAGCAGCCAGCTTGTTTCGCTCTCGGCGAACGCGCCTCTTCTCCTCCTCCTCAGGTGTTAGCTGCAATCACAGAAGTAAATTTAGAGGCCGGAAGTTTTGGTTCCAACTTTAAAATGTGTGCGTTCATATTGGACACGCTACGATGAGCACGCTAATTTCTGCCTTTTGACACACGGCTTGGATTGGAGATTTCTTTTCTTGTTAGCCTCACAACAAGAAGCACAAGCTGGATTGATAACAGTAAGCACACTGCAAAAATACAAAATCTTACCAAGTATGTTTGGTCTAATTTCTAGTGAAAATGCATAAGTACATTTGAAATAAGACAAAACTAACTTACAGGTAGTTTTTGATTAAAATATAGGCGTTTGTTTTAAGCAAATAGTTCCTTAACGTTGATGAAAAAGTTTCAGTTCCACTGCCAGATTGTTTCACCAACAACATAGGAAAATTGCTTTGTTACTAGTGAAATAATCTACTTTTAATATTATAAAGTAGGAAACGATTTAATTAAAAGAAGCTCCTATTCCTTCCTGAAAGGTTAACTGTATTATTTCAAGTGCACTGAGATATTTGCACAAGAAATTAGACAAAATACTTGGTAGGATTTTGTGGGTTTTCTTGTGTAAGTATAATCCCAGCTGACAAATCAAAGTGTTTTTCTTTTTTCACAACCCTCTACGGTGTTGTTTCTTTGAATGCGCGTGCAAAAGGCCGTCAGGATAAGTTGTAGCATTTCTATTCATTAACCACAACCCAGAAAGTCAACAAGTATTAACAATAACTTAATTTGACTTCCTTTGTTCTCGCTCAAATCGTTTACCTTCACTCAACATACACATCTTCTCAAGCACACAGACTTACTAACACACCAACATCTCCATCTTCACTCACAGACTCGTCTCGTGCACGGCGGCTGCGGGGCCTGGACTGCCGGATGGGGCCCGGCGCCGGCACTGGAGTTTCTGAACCGGGAGGGGTGAAACAGGACCCCGAGGAGTAGCTGGGGCCCGGCATGTCGTACGGGTCCACCAGAGACACTGGCTGGGTCATGGTCGAGGTGCCAGTGGAGCTACTCTGCCCGGAGGCCTGGGAGGAGATGAGGGTTGGCTGCACCATCCACTGCAGGTCCTGACTGGAAGTTATGGCGGTGACGGTGGGCACGAATGAACCTGGCATCTCACCTCCGACACCGCTTCCTGGCCCGCTGCCCACAATGCTCGAGCCAGCACCCGCTGAAACACACTCCTGACCGGGAAACACAACGATTTTAGATGTCAGTCACTGTGAAATTAGACCGACCAGTTAAAAACAATACCAGAAAAGACACTCAAAACTCATAAATCAGCAATCTCATAGAATAAAACCATGTAATCTATGATAAAGTTAGAAAAAAAACAGGGCTTTGAGAGTTTATAAATCAATCTAGGTTAGATATAAATCTAATGATAGGCTCATGAAGTTGTGCCAGGAAACGTGGGAACATCACAGCCTACATATGCATTAGTTTCCTTTAGAAACTTTCAGAAGATTCTTCTCAGATTTAATTGTTTCGTCTGATAGTCGAGAGATCTTTCAGTGAGACCTGGCAGTCTCGGTGCAGTATCCTCTAAGGAGGATCTAAATCAGGCTCCTCACATCCTCTTTATGAACATTTTACAATCCTGTCATCGTGAAAATACGACAAAAGTATCAAAATTAGAACCAACAAAATTCTTCACGACTTTCTGCCACGTGTAGTTAAAGCACTAAACTGGTTTTGATGCGGTTTTATGAATCCCGCATTTTTGCTGAAACCCTATTTGATGACACTGACTTGAAGAAATTCTTATTATTATTATTATTACTGTGTCGTTCACAACCAGCTCGACATTAAATTGACAATAAACTTGCTTAACTCCTATAATAATTGATTGCTCTTGTGAGTCCAAATAAAATGCAACAAACAAATGTGAAGCCTCTTGGGAACAAAGTCAAAATATGTGGAAACAACGTGTTCCTTCGCACCGTCACCACATGCTTGCGCAGGATGAAACGGTTTTGTGCAATCAGTTTCTCGGATAACTCTTAAGGAACTGGCATTATGAGCTGAGTTTGACTGCAACTTGGAAGAAGGGTCGCGTTAGAAAGCGTGTATGCTTCTGAATGTCAGTTATTTCCCTGAAAATGAAACGCTACAAGCTAAACTTCATTGATTTAGAAAGCTGAACCTACATGTTGGATTATGAAGGTGGTCAGATTGGAATAAACCAGTCAAAAAAAAAAACAAAACACACAAAAAAAAACATATACGGCCGTATAGGTTTCGGTTTGTCCAATCTAAGTTGCACAAAATGAACTATATATGGGTCTAAAAACGCAAATGGGAGGTTTCAGATGTGTCACTTGTCCTTTTTTTCCTGGTTTATTTCGAGCCGAGGAGGAGCAGCGGCTGCCATCAGCGCTCATCTGAAAGCGTGTGAAGACATCGGGGGAGGTGGGGAGGCGGCCGGGAGGGCTGCCGACGCCGACCAATCGCTCCTCTCCGTGAACGCTTTCCCCTCCCTCCTCCCGCCTCCTCCCTCGTCACACCCCCGGTGTTCCCCTTGGCAACGCGACGTAGCGCTCCAAAATAGAACACGCATTTACGTCACGGCGAAGCGGAGAGCGGAGCTTACGTAGGGAGTTCCAGAGCTGCGGCGCGGCGTGCCGTCGGCGGAGCACGCTGTCGGAGAGCGCGGCTGCAGCGCCGCCGCCGCCAGCAAACAGATACATCACCGGGAAACTTTGACTTTGACTGAATCACTGCTCCTTACAGTCGACATATGGCTCAACTTATAAGATGGTGAATTAAATCATATCAGCGCGTTTGACCCGGTTTCCTTTGCACTATTTAGGCCTATATAAATATGACACTATTGACATAATAATAATAATAATAATAATAATAATAATAATAATAATAATAATAATAATAATAATAATAATAATAATATTTCTGCTGCATCCTCTCTGAAGAGAAGCAGCAGCAGATCTCCATGCGAGCCTACCTGCGGAGCACTGGTGGTGGGCGGGCTCCCGAAGGAGTCCACCGAGGATAGGTACTGGGACTCTATGGACGGAGACGAGCTTCCACGGGATCCGCTGTCGGGGTCGCCGGGAAACCCTTGGTACATCTCCCCGGAGGGACTGAAGGAGAAGGCGGCACCTGCGGTAGTCAGGGAGCGCACGGTGTCACCTGCAGCGGCGGGGCAAGCGACAGGGTTACTAAGGGAGAGAAGGTGCTGCTGGGGGGGAGCGGATGATGTTACAGGCGAGGAAGTTAATGAACGCCTAAGGCCCGATGAGGTTTCTTTGAAAACAAGGTTCATATATATATAAATATATCTATATATCTTATGGTGATTCTCCAAAAGGAGCTGGTGTGCAGCCGCAGCCAGCTGTTTTTGGACCGCACTTTTAAAGTGGACGCTTCCGACGCCTGTCATTTCTCTTACCGTTCAGTTTCTTGTTGTTCCCCAGCGAGATGGTCCTGGTCTCTTTCCAAAAAAGTTGCATGAAGAAACTTAATCCAACTCCTCGCGATGAGGATGAGGGGGGTGGAACCAAAAAAAAAAAACACAAAAAAAACTTTTTCGCTTCCAGCTGAACTCCGTCTGCTTTTGATATGGTTGGCTTGTAAAAAAAAAAAAAAAAAAAAAACCCAAACAAATAAATAAATAAATAAATAAAAAAGAAAAATCCCGGTTGTTCTCTAACGTATCCGCTGTTCAAGAGGGAGAAAAAAAAAACCCCGCGAGGTTATAGATCCATACGGTCCGTTAACGGAAAGCCCGTGGCGGACGCCGGCCGGTTTTTTTCACGGTGCAGCGTGGACGATGTTGTACTCATGAATGAAGCCATCCGCTGCGAGTACCAGCGAGGCATTTTCTAGCTGCGAAGTCCCGCCTCGGAGTTCCGCTGACGTACATGCCCATATTTGATGTGTTGTGTTTGGTCTCCTTGGTGACGTTGAGGGATTCCCTCTCCCACTGAATGGACCAGAAGCTTTTCACCTCGCCGACGGATAATAATAGACTTTCTATTCTCTCTCTCTCTTTTTTTTTATGTTATCACAGGCAAAAAAAAAAAATATATCTATATATATATTTCTCACCGTCTGACAATGTCTGAGAGGAAATTTTAAGAAACACGAGGGTGATAAATATGGAAAGTTTCTATTTTGGAGCGTGAAGATGCGCATGAGATGTAGGAACATTCTTAGGTCATGGTTATGAATGATATTAGAATACCTAACATGTTTTTTCTGTTTTGGGGAGACTCCCCAAAATTCTGACTCCCCTTTATTGATCTCAAAGGGTAATTAAGTGTTGTCGAAGCTCATATTGATTCTCCAAAGAGTTGTTGTAGATCACAGGTGTCAAACTCCAGTCTTTAAGAATCAGTGTCCTGCAGGTTTTAGATGTGCCACAGGTACAAAACACTGGAATGAAATGGCTCAATTACCTCCTCCTGATGTAGATCAGGTCTCCAGAGGCTTAATGACATAATTGTTCTATTCAGTGTGGTGCAGCAGAGGCACATCTAAAAGTTGAGGACACCGGCTGGAGTTTGACACCCCTGCTGTAGATGATGCCTGTTTGGCTGGGAGGGGGGAACTCCAAAATGTGGGTTTATTTTTACGCCCAGGCAGCCTGGAGTTGCTCTCCAAGACGGAATCCCGTCCAACTTCAAGGGAAATCCTGCTTGAACGTTTCTCAGGACACACCCTTAGGACTCATAATGACTAAAAAGCAAGGAAAGCCCTCTTTTGATCCGAGCCCTTGGACACTCCCTGAATCTGAAGTCGGGTATTATTCCATGAATGGATTAACTGCAATTTGAGAAATGACATAAAAACAGAGACTTGCTGCCAGGGCTCTGGCCTAGAACAGTGTGAATGAGAGCCGGTTTTGGCTCCCTACGCCTTGTGCAAGTTTCTTTCACGCGTTCAAAAAGTAGAGACAGTCAGGCACACATCAAGTTTAAAGTGTGTAGATATTGAATATTTCCAGCACCTTTGTTTTTGTAATTTCTTAAAGAAAAACAATGCTATGACAATGTGATTTTTTTATTTTTTAGAAACATCATTGATTATAAGAAAATACTGGAGGATTTATCCAGTGTGGTGTGTGGCAATAAAATGCAGTCACTGAAGTACAACAACAACAACAAAAGAAGAAGAAGAAGGAAGTGTGTGGCATGCGTTTGAGGCTTGGTGTTGTCCGTCTGCTTTCTTTGTCTTCGAAAGAGGAATTTTTGCACTTCCCAGTCCGAAACAGGAACGTACCCCAGAGTTATTTTGGGAAGTGATAGTTTGCCAGACCAGAGGCATACAGCTGCAGACTCCCAACAACACTTTTATAAAACCCTTCAGTCTGAAACCATCTACCAATGTGTAAAACTCTTCTACACACTGTGTGAGGAAAAACCTGTCCAGATTTTCTTTCTGGTTCACAACGACGCATTTGATAGTAAATGACTGACATGTCAAGGGAGTTGGAGTTTAAGTTTGTGGCTAGATAATTTGCTCTAGGGTTAGGTGTCAAGGTGAACATTGGGGCAGCTCTTAGGTTATGCAAGCAAAAATGTATAATACTTTGCTGATAATCTCAGAGTTTAGTATATGGGTATATTAGTATATCAATATGGCTGCCAAAAAAAAAAAAGACAGATAAAGTATTCGTCAGCACTTCTGATGGTCTGCATTACATTAAAACAGCAAGAAAACGAGACGATTTTTCTGACCCGCAGCTGGAGCATGCTGAACTCAGGGCGGGCATCATTTCCAGATCTGAGCCCTGACTTTACAGACAAATTGCAATAATCATGTCTGATGTGTTTGAGATAAAGTGGGTGTTAAGGAGGGCTGCTGCCCCTGCCTGTCATTTTGTTTAATGCTCACCCCTGCTCAAGACAATAGACCTAATCTTGGGGGTTACTCAGCACAATCAGCATCACTCACAACCATTTTTTCCCCTCAGAAAAACTGACCGTGTGTAAGCACTGACTGGACAGTGGGCAGCAGTGACGGAAATCTGAGCCTGTCACTGCAATCCGAACATAAAGTGATTCACTGTGAATCCTGCATTCGGACACCAGCGGGAATGTGGCAGGTGGGAGGCTTTCTATTTTTTTTTTTTTTGCTGGGTCAAGCTCCGCAACCGAAACGAGGGAGGAGGAGGGGGACAAAATCCTGAATGAATGTAAAAAAAAAAAAAAAAAAAAAAAAAAAAAAAACTGAAATAGGCCTACTACGTTTTTCTGGCTGTGATGTCAGACAATGTGTCGGGGCGGGCGTGCTGCTGTGAAAGGGCTCCACGGTGCAGCTGATGTGTGAACAGGCGTGAGCAAAAAGGGAAGAGTTGGGGATAACAAGCTATTAGTCAGAGCTGCAACCACGTCAGAGACGAGGATTCACGGAGGACGCTGTGTCCCGGATTGCCGTTAACGGAGCCGTGTGCCGCCGAACCGGGATGACTAACTCCGCCGATGTAAGTCGTTCCTGATGGGGAGTTATTAAAGCGGACGGGCGAGAACGTGCGCGCGAGAGCAGCCCACTCTCACCGGGAGCAACACGACCAAAAGCCAGAATTTTGGACGTGAAATCTGCAACTTTTAGGCTGTGTAGCTGTTCTACAACCATGTACGACACGCGTCACTCTTGTGTAATATGCTTCACTTGCGTTTAATTTTTAAAGATAGTCCGCATTCGCAACCTTTAATACGCTAACTGAGCTAAAACAAGCGACAGGAACCGTGTGTGTATGTGTGTGTGTATATATATATGGCGTTCCGTCACCATGGATACGCCGTTACCCTCTGACGCAAGCGCGTATAAATTTGGTCTTTTTTGTTATGCCGCCTAGCAACCGGTTTCCGTGGCGACACGCTTCGGGCAGCAGCACACAATATGGCTTCCGGATTCTTTCTGTGCAGAGAACAGATGTAGTATGGCAAGCCGATTTAGCACATAATAACCAGACGCTGACAATCATTTTCATTTTAATTCAGCTCTATTTCCTTGGATTTTACACCGGATATTCCGCGTAGTTCTTTTAGCATAAATACAATTAGATGAATATAATGTTTTTGTTTGTCTTTGTTTTAGTACTTGCTTTGCTTCAGCGTCAAACATTTATTCCCCTTCGCCATACATTCACCAACACAACAGATGTGTTAAATGTAACTTTTTTTCCTGGATAAATAGTACACATATTTAAATTAATGTGGAGCTGTTTTTCATTTGTACAGAATCTCTGTTATGCCTGGCTGCTGCAACAGCATGAGCCATAGACATAATAAATATTTATTATGTCGATGGTATGGACAGTGTGAATTTCCTCACTGAGAAAGCAAGAGAACATTATGGAGTCACAGTATTATTTTGAGATAAACAACAACATGACTTATTTATATTGCCTCATAATGATAAATATATATATTGTTGATAGATATGAGGAGGTGCAGCAATGAGATATATAGAAGCATATTACCATACAATGTTGTGAATATACATTTTACACCTAAATTTCCCTTTGCTAGAATTGCAGCTCAACTTTTCTTTCTCTGTAAGATACATTTTGTTAATGAAATACAAAATCTTAATCAGTTGAGGACACATATAAATCACAATGTAATTTATTATTCAGTTCGGTTAGTTATTAAGTGATGGACTTCCACACGACCAACGGACTTTACTGAAAAGGGAATAAAGGCGTGAAACCTTCAGGGTGATTTGATTAAATCTTGTCACGACTTGCCACAGCGCAGGGAGGCGCTCACACAGAAACAACTGTTGTTGTTTTTTGTCAGTTTTAACTGTTGGTTGTTTTGCTTTGTTTTGTAAACCTCACTCAGTCGTAAATGAAAGACTTAATACAGCACAAATATGACTCAAGGCCGTTATAAAAGGCTAATATGAGCACTGAAGGGCGAATAACGTGTAATTACAACTAAGCGTGCTTTTCACACTCCTGTGAAAAAGAAGCAATTTATTCTGCTGAAAGCCATGGCTGAAATATTTCCAAAAAGCTTCACTACTTGTGAAGAAGGTGGATGCTTGCTTCAACCGTTGAGTTCAATTCGATTGAGTTTATTTACACACATACACGCACGCACACACACCTATATATATAAAACCCAACCTCAAGAAACATCACAATGTAAACAGCTCTAATTAATGCGAAGTTACAGAGTCTGATTCAGGCCGATAAAAGTACAATTGAGACTGGTCGGATTTTTTTTCTTACTACTCCTTGATACTTTTTATCTTAAGTAAATAAATGTACACACTTTACCTTTACGCTGTTTTGCTGTGGGGGACTCTGGGTGCATTTGGGTCAGTACATTAGGCGTAAATCAAAACATCTGTATAATCCCCAAAGTGTGTCAGGAGGTTCTGAAAGCGGAGATCGACTGTAGTGCTTGTAGAAATAATTCTTACGCAGATGCAGAAGGAATGAACAAAATACATTTAGATAGGAGCAAGAAAAATCAACAAAACCTCCCCGCCACACTGCATCTCTTTTTATATGCTACATGGCCCAATTTGACCCCAACACTCATTGCTGCTTCGTGGAGTAATGCGATGCATGTGAGACTAATCTTCCTGTCAGACTGCCTTGTTTTCTTTTTGGCAGTTTGTTTGTTTGTAACTTGTGGTAGTCTAGACTCAAGACCTGAAAATATAGCAGTGGGGGTTATCTGACACCCCTTGTGCGCTTTGTTTTGCTTGCCTCGGTTTCTTAGCATATTTTCGGGAAGCCACTAACGTGCTCTGCACTCATGAGGCCAGCTCCTGTTTCCTTTTGGAAGGCGGGCCCATGTTTGCTGGTCTGGCCCAAAATACTCGTTGCCAGGCAACGCGTCAGCCTGTCCCAGTTAAGAGCGGGCCTGTTTACACCCCTTCTGGCTCCGCGGCCCAAGAACATTGCATAACTGCCAGTGTTTCGTCACCCCGCCGAAGGAAACCTGAGATGTCTTTTACCCCTCCAGCCAACCACAGCGCCTCGTCCTTTCTTACTGCAGCCTCCCTCTCAGCAGCTGAAGCTTTCTTGCTGGGGTTGCATTTTTTTTTTTTTTTTTTTTTAAACTTGCAGCTACCTCCAACTCAGCAAAACCAAAGTGAAACCGAGAGTAGGGTGTTTGTGGAAAGGTTGGAGCTTGACTTTCAGGTCAGGCCAGTTGTTATGTGATCTGTTAGGTGGAGGGGAGGGTTAAAGTCCACCCCTGTAAGCTTGTTATAACACATTCAATTCTTGTCTAAATCCACCAATTCTTCCCCTGTGCAGCTGAAGGCCTTCCTGTGTGGCTGTGTAAACATTGGCTTCTGTATGAAGTGCATTAGCCAAAAAGCTAGGTGAAATTAAAAACACAAAGCTCTGTCGTTATTAATGCATCTGCGATGAACTTTTGAACTGCTTCGAGAAAGTCTGTTTTACCCCGTGAGGGAACTCGCATATTTTGCCTTTTGTAGTCACTTAAATCTTTTAGATCGTGAAACTAAACTCGACACCAGACAAAGGTAAGCTGAGTGAATGCAAGAGATTTCATTCATAATGGGGGAAAACAAAAGCTTTTAAGAAACACACCTGGCTCTGTGTGAAAAGGTTGGAGTACTTTCTGGATGTATATAATAATAAAAAAAAACATTAAATAGTCTTATGTTAAGTTGTATTTGATGAGGGGAAAGAGTTAAGAGGCAAGCATCAGAAGAAATATGGGAGGAGACAAATACTCTTTCACAGTGACGTGTTTTTGTCAAGCTACACATATTTAAACATTGTTCTCATTCATAAAAGTTTGTCCAGGGGTTTTATTCATTTGTTGTTGTTTTTTTTCACTAGCGTTGTGAAGGGAAGCCAGTCTTTTGGTCAGGTAGTTGTGGAATGTCTGCAATAAGGACAGACTTTAGGAAAACAATGAAAGCATGTCTCGCTGGCAGCCTTGTGGTGAACCATCCGAGCCGCAGCACAGCTAGTCAACAATTGTGTTATGTCCTACACTGGCAGCTTGAGGTTAGTAGAAAGGTTTGTTTTTTCTAGAGCCACTTGTGGAGTTTTTATTTTTTAAAATATTTTTCTGTTTAAAAAATAAACACAAATTTTTGTTCTCCATTTTATGTCACTCTAAAATGATTTGGGTTCTTCATTATTATTGGTGGCACCGTGAAATAATACCTGATTTGTAGTGAATTGAAACTGAATCCTGAAGTGATTATGAACATATTTGCCCTAAATTTTGGCTGAGCTTGAAATTATTAATGTCCCACAGCGGACTGAGGTTCTTCTGACTGGAAGTGAAATTACAGGTTTTGAGATAGTGTAAAGTCCTGATTTGAATCTGATCATGTGTGGAGAAGGCTCAAATTTAAGATGGAGGTAAGAAGGCCTTCCAGCGTCAAAGGCTTGGATCTCCTCACCAGATGATATTAAAATTAGATTAGATTAGAATATAATAAAATAACCAGGCTGTTAAATTTAGTCTCATTGTGTCAAATTCCCACAGATTACAGTCCCTAAATTGCTAGAAGTCTGAGAGCAATGCTAAGACTAGAAAAACTAATTATATCTTTATTGGAATTCTTGGCAAATATATCCACATTATTTTCTTCCACTATGCAACCTCATTGTCAAACTAATCCAGCATAAATGCTTCTATTCAATCTCTCTAGTTTACTTTGTTGTGTTTTTTTTCCCTCCTGTATCTTGACATTTGTCTACTACACTGATATTCAAAGTTTGACTCACCATCAACCTTACTTTAAGGCTTGACCCTCAGTCTTCGTCTGAGTTTGTTTCTCATCAAACCAAATGACCAGATCCGCTAACGTCCGGCAGCCACAGAACCCAAGTGATGCTAGAACGTCACGGCGCCCATGCACTGCATCCTGTTCGCCGTCCCAAAACACATTTTATTCTGTTACTGAGGATTTTCCTCTTTTCAAGAAACGCGTGCAAACCCATAGCTGAATGGCTAACCCCAGCCAGCACGAGACGAAGTTCTGGCCGCATGATGCGACACACTTTTGTAACTTTCCAGAATGTCTTTTCCCCCTCTCTGGCCCACGTCGTTTTCAGTCGTGTTTATGTTTCTGTACATGTGTTTACACGTTACAACCCATGGGCCTGACTTTCTGTTCAGCAACGTTTTGTGTTTGCACAAAGCCTCTCAATGCAGTGAGCACACATTCGCAGGGCTACTGTAACTCTCAGAAGATCACAAAACACAAATCTTACTTGTTTCATGTTATTCCACCCGACAGATTTACGCTCGCTGTCCTCAAACCTTTGCTGGCCTGTTCTTTCTGGAATAGCAACTGAAATAGTTTGCTGTCTTACAGGTCTTATAGCTATGACCTATAAGATATTCACCTACTGGTCGTGGCTCAAAATAAATACCGCATATCTGTGCAACTTCAGCCCCGCTGGAGTTCTTTTTTGTTTGTTTTATTGCTGTAATTGCGGCTGCAAACGTTAACAGCGAGGTGAAGAAACGGGAGTGGATGCCTCCATTGTATCATGCGCTGCATGGGAGTCAGATGCCTAAAGTTAAATGCAATCAGTGGGTTTCAGATCCACAGCTCTCTGTGACTCAGACACAAGCAGCGCGTCAATCCTAGCCTACTTTTGGCAGGCTCACTGCCAGTCACAGAGGCAGAGAGCCAGAGAGAGAGGAGAGAGGAAGGAGAGAGAGGACAAGAGATCAGAGGTGCAAAGTAGCGCTGTAAAGTCTTCAGCCTCGCACCTAAATGCAGAGCGGAGAGAGAGAGACAGAGAGAGAGAGAGAAAGATATTTCTGCGTGATTTGTTTTAAAATGTTTGACTTTAGTCTCACACAAATGACCTTTCCACTCAAAACTTTACAGATGACTGTCTCATTCAAAGATTTTCCTGGAAGCCATGAATAACAGCATTCACCACCACAGCACAGCATTGTTGAAGCTGTCGCTTTTGTCACGATGGCTGTAAATACTTGAAATTAGGATTTTGCATTTAACAATTATTAGTATTATTGCTACTATAAACAAGTGTTGGATCATAGAGGCACAGCAGAAATCACTGCAGCGTAAAGGGAAACACGTCGTCCCTTAGAATTGGTTTCATTCTCAGCTTGTGGTTACTTTTTCGTCCAGTCTCTTTAGGCCATGTGTGGAGGTTTAGTCAGATTAACGTTCAGACAGTGAGAAAAAAAGGACATGTATATATTTTTATGGATGTGTATGTATGGTCTCAGCTGCAAACTGATATATATATATATACATTTAGGTAAACCACGTCTGAGACTGTTGTGACTGGATGATAACCACACTGAGGTGAAGTACACTCTTGCTAAAGTTCTTCATGTATTAGACGGCAATGTTTTCGCAAGAGCAATAATTGCAATGACGTATTTTATTTACGCTCACTTCTTAAAACACAGCAGGTCGCCTCACGGAGCAAACAAAAGTACAAAAACAGTGTAAAAACAAAAGTCGAGCTTCAACAGAGATGCTTCAGGGATGCAGAACGACTGCCTCTGCTGAACGTACCATGGGTGAAACCGCAAACTCTGGTCAGTTTGCTCACTATTGTCATTTTTTCCACTATTAAACACTCTACACCACATACTGAGTTAAGGCCTTTTGATGCTCGGCGCCTCTGCTGTTTTTAATCCCTCAGAGACGCCTCCCTGACCTCGCTCTGATCTCTCCGGAACGTTGCAGCAAAACCCGCTGATGTACAGATTTCACGTCACGCCACTTCACTTTTGCTGCTGTTGCCAGAAATCCTCACGTTGCTCATTTTTTGTGCCTCCAACATTTCAACTTTGCAAATAATATCCTGCTTTGAGAGAAAAGTAGTGTTTTGTCCTCTTCACTTGTCATTAGTCATAGTGTTCTGGCTGATAGTTTGTCCTTTATGTCCATGCGCCGCATCCTTGCCTCCTTTATAATGATTCTTAGTCATCATTTCTCTCTCTTTGCTTGTTTGCATCCGGAAATCTTTGTTTTAATCTTCCCCTCAGCTCGCAGCGCCCCTCTCCTCCCTCCTCCCCGCTGCGTCTCTGCTCCTTACATAAGGACTGCCCTATTTTTTCTTTTTTTTTTTTTTTCAGGGCCCAGTAAGTGGCAGGAATAAAGCGAGTGAGTGGGTGGGGAGAAGGGAATGATGATGGGGGGGAAAGTGGGGGATCTGATGAGGAGAGACAGGAAGAGAAAAGACATGGGGGCAGAAGAGAGGACTGTGTGTACGCTGCACACGTCAGGAAGACAAACCTGCACATGCTCCCGTCATCGCACTCACCTCGCCGGCCTTCCCCGCCCACACACCGCTCACCCCTCTGCTCCCCACCCGCCACCTTTTCTTCTCCTCCCGTCCCTCGTCTCGGCACGGTCGTTCCACCTCAATTCTCATCTTCTCTCTGACACTTCCAGGTGTCTGCCTGCGTGTCAGGGGTCCAATCAAAGCCCGCAAGCATCCCATACGTCCAGGTCCATCTTCGCCTCCCCCATTTCCCGTCTCGGTCCCAGCATGGCGCTCGGAGGAGAGCGACCCGGTCAGGACACTCGCAAAAGTAGGACCACGCTTTCAACTTTTTCACCTTTTGTTGCTTTAACCTAGAGAGTTTTATGCTTTTATGTTGTTGGTCTATCTTCTAACAGACCAACAGACCAACACAAGACAGGAAATAACTGCAAAGTGGAAGGAAATTATACATGGTTATATTTTTTTGTTTTTTGGGTTTTTTTTTTTTTACAAATAAAATCCCACTTTTGTATACATTAGTATTCTGGCTCCCTGATTTGACAATGCAGAGAATTGCCGAATCATTTCTCTGCAATAACAGCTACAGCTCTGGCTATAACTATCATTTTGCACATCAAGGTACTAATATTTTGCCCATTATTTTTTGCAAGATCAAAGAATAAACCCACATAACCCAAGATCACAACACTTCAGTTAATTTGGTTAACTCATAGATTTCATGTTTGAGATTGTGTGAAATAACATGTCAGTGTCAGGACTTGCGGCGTGAGGTGATGAGGCTAGATGAAATGGACCCAGTTGAAATGAAGTGGACCCAGTTGTGAGAGAACAACGATCCAAAGTCCAAGGCAGCACAGAAATGAGCAGAAGGCTCAGGCTCAAAAACTGGTAGCAACTGGTAAACAATAGACATCTGACAGCTGCCTTGACACGGCAAGACGGTAGACAAGACCAGGACAAAGAACAAGGGGTGACATTAAATGGACAGCTGGGAACAATCAAGGGGTAGACAGGACAACACGAAAACTCAATTAACTGAAAAGGACACAAAAACCGAACTTAACCCTGAGGAAAAAAACCCCAACAACAACAAAACCTCACAGTCAGAATGCTTCTAATTTTTTGTCATACAAAGTTCAGATTTAAGCTCTTCAAGGAAGCAGCGCATAAACGAAAAGATTTTTCTGCTTCTTACCGCGATACCTTCAGGGAAGATCTTTGAAAATCTTCCTCCAAGGAAGCGGCAACCTTTTGATTCTGAGATTCTCATTATTCGCCACCCCCGACAGAACGGTCTTTTATTCACATAAACATCTTATTTATTAAATCCTCTCTGAATTATGACAGAACATACTTGTCAACCAGCCATCAGGTTTTATGTAAGCTGAGAGACGGATGAAGATGGACTTCAAACCGCACTTACGTACGATGAGTGTACAAGCGTTCGTTGCGGCTGACATGGTATTCGAACTATGAATAAAATTTGGAGCGGGTTTTTTCTTTTTGTTGCTGCGGGGCCCTTAAAGGAACGCAGGCGCAGACGACTGACGAAAGCAATTTTGATGTTTATGCTGGTGTATTTTTCTGCGAAGCACGCACATGCGGGATAAACACTCGCTTTGTGTTCTGTAATTGTTGTCACGGTGAGACATTTGATTGTGTACTTTAAAGGATATTTTGTTTAATAGAGTAAACACATCATCGTTCTGCCTGAATGTTGGTTTATAGTTTCCGCTCTTCCGAGGGAAAAGTTCGTGCAGATGTTTAAAATGCTAAATTTAGTGCTAGATTTTTAGTAGCCAAGGTCGCAGCCAGCATTCCTCCCTAAAAGATTTATTTTAATAAAATGGCTGTAAAGTGCTGACTTTGAGCTTCAGGCTGCAGAATCACACAGGTGCACGGTGTTGATAATGGAAATTTAATGCACTTCACTGCAGTATTTCAAAGCATTGTTGTACTTTTAGTGAATGGGCACAAACCTCTTGGTAACTTCTATTCTTATATGCCCAAATAAACACAAAACAGTTATTACAGAAAATAACTTTCATTCATAGAAATTCCTTGAGGTCTCCAGCAGAGCGGTTCTGCAGCTGGAGGTTGTATTGCAGACGCCTAAAGATGTGACAGGTTTAGAATTGCAATTGCCTTAATAATGTAAGCGACGCTCTTCTGGGATTTACAAGAACAACGAAAAAAAACCACAAGGAATATGTGCAATTATATGATCACAACTTTTACCAATAAGATTGTAATCACAGTGTTTTATTAGTGCGCAGCTCTACTATTTCATTCATTTTCAGTTCTTTTTTTGTGTATATTTAACTCCTTAATTCTACACTTATGAGTTAGTAGAACATGACACTCAACATGACATAAACACTCAAGGTTTAAGTCAGTGTTTTTTTTTTTACACGCATTAGTAAAAAAACATTGAACTGCTTTTTTGTTGTTGTTATTTCTCATTCATGATGAGATTCAATAACATTATTTAAGCATTGGTGTTCATTTATTCCCATCAAACATCATCAAACCTATCCACTTTGATTATATTTCTCTGATGCATGCAGAAATACATTCAGCACCAAACAGACAAGACGAACATCTGAAAGTATTTTGTCGTCTTTCTCTGACCTTTCCAACTTGTAAAAAGTGATACGAGTTAAAAAAAAAAAAGCGTTTCAGTGAGTTCTTACATCACCGTGCGTTTCTGTGGTCACCCACTGTTTACAACAATCTGCCATTGAGATGATAAAATACCAGCAACGGGACGAGGAACACAGAGCAGAGCGAGGCGGGGAGGTGAATAATGTAGATGCAAATAGTGCTCTTTGCAACTCAAATGACCAGCCCTCGGTCTCCACGACGTGTAAATAAACGCACAATAAATGCGCCCCGCGTTCCCAAGCCAAAGCACGCTCGGGTCCTAAAATACCGCGGCTCTGACGACTGAGATAGTGCCGCTCATCAAATTTATGCGTGAGCGAACCCAGGCTAAATTTATTGCCAAGCGAGCCAACTTACGCAATCCCTCCCTGCACTCCCTCCTGTCTGTTCGGTGGTTTCAGAGTCTTACATCTCAAAGTATCCCAGCCCTCCCCAGGATCCCACCCCCACAATATACGCTACAACTTTGACACTATTCCTGTAGCAGCACGAAAATACCAGCACCTCCAAGAACAGACGCCGAGCCCGTCAGAGCATCATCGCATCCCACATGGCAGCTGGGAGGGAGGGAGAGAGAGAGAGAGGGAAGTGGAGAGATGAGCACAGCTGCTGTTGAGAAATAAAGAATCAACAGAGAAACTCAGGATTTTCTGTTCGCAGCTTTTAATCCAGGCAGATCTGATGCAAACTGTCTCTCTACGCTTTGATCTGGATCAGCTCTCCTCCTCTCAGACAGCTTGTGCAAAGCTGATTCACTTTTGAGACGCAACGCAGAGTCGCCTCAACACCGAATCATAGCAAACTTTAACAACTTTTAGGAAATCTTCAGTTGAATCTCCCACATTATTGGCATAAAGTTGCAAAGGTGAAGTAATGAAGAGGAAATTCATTATACATGTGAAATGATTGGAAAAAAAAAGACTTGGGTGCACATGTTTGAATTTGTTTGTTAATCCCAAAAGTTCAGCTTCGAAGGTCGAACCTTGAATTCTTTTGTTCTGTCGGTACGTCACAGGGTCTCCTGCCTCCCAGTGAGACCCAGATCACGCTGGAGGTGGATGCACTTTTTTTTTTACTGCCATATTTCTCTCTGGATATTTGATTCACTTCTTATCCCAGAGTTGGTCGATTTATTGTGAACTATGTTGATTTACTGGCACAGTTTACAAATTTCCAACTGAGTTGAGGTCGGAGTTTTGGGAAACCAATCCCAGGATCTTAATCTTAGCCAACTTGGTCTGTTTCAAAACAAGCGTTGATGCGTACACCCTCCTCAAGCTCTGACCAAACAATGTATCTTGTTCTAATGTAATTTCCTAATTAGAAACATCGTTTATAAATGTTTGAGAAATCCTTGAATTTTCCCCTGTCAGCCAGTCACGCTTACCTAAGCGTTGCTCCCACAAAGCAGTGCTTTTTCCACCACGCCATTCCTCACAGGTCTCCCCCCCCAACTCGGCTCCTCCAGACTAGCGACAGCAGCAGCAGTTAGGAAACACCTAGAGGAACTGCTCAAGTGTGCTTGGTTTATTAAATGAACCACAAGCTCCTAAGAACAAATGCAAATGGCATAATGAGAGGCATTGTTGTGACGATGACCTGAAGGCAGAAAGAGCAGGAGCTTCTTAAAGAGACAGAGACCCGGTTTCAAAGCGTCAAAATGCGAAGTCAAACTTCTTTTAAGTTGTATGTGATACAATGTTTTTTTTTTATGGCAACTGGAGGCAACATGTCTGATTGTGCTACAAAACTGCCTGGAAGTGGTTTATAATGCCCCTTTAAATGCAAAATATTGTCAATGTCTACATTTGACACAGGAAAGGACAAACATTACGTTTAGTTAGAAGGTCTGAGTTCCTTTTATTTATTTATGTAAATATTAATTTACATTAATATATGCTTTCTTGTATGACTTTCTAAATGTTCCTCACTTGCTCCACGTCCCTTTATCACATGACAAAAAAAATTCTTTGGAGAGTTTCAGTATTTAAAAGCCAAATACGTATTGGATCTAAAGACAGAGTCCAACCGTAGCAGTGGCAGGCGGTCCTAAAAGAGAAAACATTTAGGCCTCTGCCCCACCTGTATGGTCTACACACAGGTATGTTCAAAACGAACCAACAGATGTTGCGACTCCTTACATTTCTATGCAGAGACATTCAGTTTGTCCACTTCCCCCGGTTTAAGACTCAGTACCTGTAAACCATAAGTGACATCAGCTGCAGCTTCTTGCTGATTGTTAGTAATCACGCTGACGGCATACGGAGAACGAGGCTGTTGAATGTTGAGAGCATCTGTGCGACTCTTGTGACTCACGCCGCTCAAACAATAGACGCAAGGAAACGAGGAGGAAGCCCAAGGCTCCCAGACCAACACAGGAATCAGTGAAACAGGTGAAAGTGAAAGTGAAAAGGAGTGCAAATCCCTGTAAAGACTCGTAAGACTCAGTGGGTTCTTTCTTTTCTCTCTCTCTCTCTCTTTTTCCCTTGTTCTTCTCCTCTCTCTCTCTCTCCATCACAATGTAGACGGATGGTTGCTGAGGGCAACCTGTGTGTACTCACCTAACGATGAACAGGAAGTGCTGTGTGAGTGAAGCGGCTATTTATAGCAGCATGTGTAGAAAGGACATTGGCTCACTTGTGC